CCCCCCACCCCCCGTTCTTGAAACAATTGCCAAACCTCCGTACATGCTGCCATCTGCGTTCTAGGCTGTGAAACATGGATGTTTATATGCCTCATTACAAAAATTGTCAACTTTGCAGAAACACATATAGAATCTATATATCTTGGATATTGTTACCTAAATAATTTGTTTTATATTTTGTAATAATTTTGGCCTCTTACTGACTTAGTTTTGCCTATATTTATGCCATTTACTAAAAAATATTTTTCTTCTAATTTTCCTCAACTTTTTGTTTAAATCATTATTTTTCACTAAACATTTTGGTTTTCAATGAATATTACTGTCAGATATAGAAAATACAGTTTCTTTCAATATTGAACAAGTAATACAAAGAGTCAAATTTATACTTTTATTTTTTGGTGAATAATTGACATCCTTTTGGGAATTAGCCTAAAAATTGATTGTGCAGTTAAAGGGTTAAACAGACATGTAACTCCCACCATCCTGATATATATCTATATTACCAACTACTTCCACGAGTTTGTAATACCTTTATAACCTGTTTTTTTTTTTTTTTCTATTTAAGTTTTCTTACTTTACATTTAAGTTAGTTTTGTTAGTTCAACTATGAAGGTTATTACAATGGTCAGTTTAACAATGAAGAGTGGTGTTATGGACAGATTAATTGATAAAGAGTAGTGTATCAATTAATTTTACTAAGAGGAATAATGTAACAATTAATTTTGCTATAAAGGGTAGTATAATGATTAGTTTTGCTAGGAAGGGCAGTGTTACTAGTACAATGGTTAGTTTTACTAATCAAGATAATGAGAAAAACATCTTTTTCACACACAAACATGCTTATGATGTTGAAATAACTGCTGCTTCAGAGGGATAACAATTAACTGATATTACCTTATGCCAATTCATCTGAAACATCACTTTACAATAATGACAAAATCCAGTAAAATACATTATTGAAGAATAAAAACATAAAGAGCAAGGATACAATGGACCATTCAGCTCATTTAGGGTACTCCTAACTTACCCAATTAACCAACCAAAGCACCAAGACATATCTAAATAAACCTCTTTAATCCATACATATATTTAACAGAAACTATCATATTATCATGGAAGTTTCACACCATGGTAAAGCAGGCTATCATAAACATATGTAAAAATTAATGTTTAAAAAAATTCAACCAGTAATGCTTAATATGCAACATGTGCTTTAATGAACAGATTCACTCACTAGCATGGCTGAGAACAAGGAGAAAATCTTCTTCTTCTAGACCATAACTATTGGCAGGATCATCCAAAATATTAAACAAACTTCCACCAGTACACAGTTCCATTACCAGGATCTTGCTGTGACTTTCAACCTGAAACATTCAGTTATAAAATACAACTAATGTAGATGATATGTTACTGTGGCTTTCAACCTTCACTATATAAAAATGAAAAGCTGTCTGTCACACCAATAACTCGGCTGTTGAAGTACTGATTTACACGGAACTTGCAAAAAATAATGTCGCTTTCTTCTGCAACAAGCAAGTTTGTCTTTTACAAATTCCTACAGCCACATACATATAGAAAACAGATAATGCACTACTTTGGGCATATGATTAGATATGATGCTAGGTTGGTAGAGATCGTAATGAGTAATAAAATCGAATCAAGTACGTGCATGCCCATGCTTGGTATTATTGGGTCACAAAAATCATAATCATTGGCTGAAATTCCCCATTAAGTTAGCTTGGTTGTCAAAGAGACATACTGACGCAATATCACAAAATTTTGTCCAGTCAGAACCCTCAGCTACAACTCCATAATAACCTGCATGCTTTACCCACAGCACAATTCAATTTTGAAAATGTCAAAATTAAAGCACTTTTCTTCAGCTCAGTAAGTTAACAAAGCCAAAACTGGGAAGACAGTCCAAAGAGAAGACCCCAAAATTCATAATAAAATTCACTGCCTTTACCATCACAATTAATAATTTGCAGTCATACAGTCGACCAAGTAGGAATATGTCTTTGAGAATCAGTTTTTTCACGTTTCAGTCCATATGGATTTATCAAGAAGACATTTGAGCATAACTTGAAATACACAATAGTAAAAATCCTAATAAAGCAATACTTAAAGGAGATGACCTAATATACATAAAAGTTCCCATTTTCTAATACTGAAAATGTATTTCCAATAGGTACTTACCTCTACTCACCCACAGCTACCTTGACCTTCATTTGCCCTCCAGGCATTGGTAAACTTTTTAAAAGCACACCATTCTTTTATAGCCCTATGTTTTTGCATCATTGCAGCAACATTTGCTCATCATGTGACCATCCTCCACCAATTCCACTGCACCTTCTATCCTTGTGGCACAATCCTCACTTTTGAGAATTGGCATATACAAACCCAAAAACTCTGGCAAATCAGTGAGGAGGAAAGGTGGGAAGTGGGTGAGAAAAGGTAAGTACCAATCATAAATACATTTTCAGTGTTAGAAAATGTTAACTTCCAAAACAGTATTACCTCAGCTCCCCCATAGCTAGAATCCCACAATGGAAAGGTAGAGGTGCCGGTGAAGGCTCAAAAACAAATAATCAAGCAGAGAGTAATTGCTATAAAAAAAAGCAGAAGTGCCACAATTAAAATAGAAAGCACACCTGTGGGGTATAGCACTACTTCTGGAACAGGTATGTTCTTCACTCAGTAAAGAAGCCAAGACTCATAGGGCAGATGTGAATGGAATACGTAGCTAGGACTAGATGACTTTATTTGAATAGATATAAAGTAGTGAAGTCTGCCCAGGCAGAAAACATCCAGAAGAAGCATCTTGGGACATGGCGTATTATGCCAAGTGTGGTCCAAGGACAAAAGCAACATGGAAGCACCTTGCATAAGTTTGTAAAATCAACAAGTGCCTTGGATTGATATCAAGATAGCTAAGTGAGGTTCACCCAGACAAAAACATCCAAGGGAAGCCCCTTGGTATACAATGGATTATGTGAAGTGAGGTCCATCTGGGCAGGAAACATCCAGGTACAAGTACATAATATATCTAATGCATACGAATAATAATACAACTTTCAAAATGAAATATAGAAATTCAAAATAACATTAGAGTAGAAAAAATACTATGAGATGTAATGCTCTACATAGAGGTGGAGGATGGGTCAAAATATACATTTCATGATTGTTTCATAAATTTACATTCAAAATTTAAACTACTTTATTAGCAATGCATTCAATAAACTTGATATCAAACTGTAGTCTATAATTCAAATTATTATATTAGCTAAGTTTTCATTTCAAAAGGGAATATCTAAATAAATTCTCATACTTCTCTTCTCTATGTCATGTGACACTCTGCACTGTGATTTCTCCTTTTTTTGGATTTATACGGGTGTCAGAGCATCCACCAATTAGATATACAAGGTATAGATAATGACAGGTTAGAATATAAAATAACAATCTCCAATCTTCTTTATTTGCTGGAATATAAATAAATTTGTTACAACCTCCTCAGAAGTTCCTCCCAACTCTTCATGTTTTAAAAATAATTTATTTGCTCATGCCTATTTGTCAGTGATATATGTTCATAGCTAACAGAAAAGCCATTCTGTGAACTGTGTGATTCTGATAATAGTCAATTTTGTCCTCCTAGTGAAAACTGCAATTTCACAAGTAGATCTTTAGATGTGTGGACTGAAATTGGTGCTCCAATGAGTAATGAAATTTTTTCAACCTATCTTTAGTTTAGTTAGAAAGCCAGATAAGCTATAATATTATTGGAAAATTCTATTTTAGTAACTGGTATATTTTTTGTTCTTAAATGTATATTTGTAAGTTATATGAATTATTTTTTGGACAATGAACATAGAAAAAAAGAAGGCTTATGAAAGCAACACCTAAGTGCATGCAAACCTATGACTAAGATAAGTAATAAATTTTTGTTTTTTATGTATACTTTTTATTTATAGTTATATATGTTTTTAACAAATGTAACTAAAATGTAAAAAAATAAGTAAAAATAGAAAACTTAAATGTTTTAAATTTTCATGACCACTCAAGTTATTAAGTTATAAAAGAAAATGTAAATGAAAAAAAATTAAAAATATTTTCATGATCATTCCTCAAGGAATCATAGAAACGTATGTAGTTAAGCATTGTGCGACATAACCTGAAACTTTATTTACCCTAAACTCTCTGCATTCCCTTAGTAGTATTCGCTTGTCATGGTAGTTAGACAGGGTATCATGAGCAATAAAACAATAACATGTAATGAAAGCAGTTGTGAAAAATTAAGAAAATTAAAGCTCTTACGATAACTGCAATTGTATGTTACAATCTGCAGTAATTCTAAGACAAAAAGTATTTTTGATTTTATTTCATATTTTTCAATTTCTGTTGCAGATGATTTTCCTACAGTTAGTTAAGGAAGAGAAAATAAAAGATAAAGTATAAAGCTTTACTGAAAAGAACTTCTGGTATTCATTTCAGAAGTATGAGAAGTTATGCAAATGAAATATAAAAACTGTATGATGAAAAGAAATATTTTATTCTTAGCATGAACATTAACTTTTCACTCAGGAAAACCTTCATAAATTTCAAACACACAAATCTTTAATAAAAATACTTCACTAAAAATTCTGATTTTTTGCGTACAACAGCTTGTATCAATTACCACAAAATTGCTAAGTTTTGAGTAGAAAGACTTAGTACATTCAGTTATAGTAGATATAGTTTCATGGTTATATAGTGGTTATAAGGCCAAGAAAAATGATTGATTCCATATACAGAGAGTTAACAAGACACATACATGTACAAAATGAGACTGAAGTAGAAAAAATATCACAGGGACATTCAATATGCACATTCAAAATTGAAAATTCACTGTATCCATATTGGCCTAAAAACAAGAATAACAAAAATTCAATAATCACCAATTAAACTACTTCTTTCAATAATATTCCAACACACCTGTTGAAAATTGATGGAGATTTCAAAATTTTATAAGTGCTCTCAAAGGGGAATAGGTAATCGGAGAATTTAAGTTTAGGGGTAGGTAAGCCAAATTTTAGGCACTTAGCTAGGGCACTTTTATAGGGTTCACATCACTGGTCACCTTTTTTGGATCAACACTGTTGGTATTTTTATCTGGAATTAATTTATTCAGTTTAACATTCTGCTTGTATTCCAGGTGGGTTTCAATTTTTGCATTAATGGTGTTAATCTTAATCTATTTTCAACTTTGTAAAAACAATATTCAGAAATCCTGCTTTGTCTTCATTTTACAACTACAAAATCCCATAAATCTGTTTCCACTATTCCTACCTCTTCTTCAATAGCCAGGAGTTTTACAATATTGTCATGGCTCACTTTCTTCAAAACTTCAAATTCTCTTTTCTGGACTTCATACGGTCGCATGTGACTCAAGTGATTGAAAGCTTTGACTGCAACAGGTTCACCAGTAGTCTATATAAGCAGAATGAACAGCTGTTAAAATGAATGAAATAACCTGTATAAAAAAGACCAAATATCTATTACCCATCAACACACAGCACATGAACTGTGCTGTTTAAAACAAATGTTGGAATAAGAATGTGTAAACAATGTAATTCAACAGGAACAGAAATGTTGATGGCAAAGCTGTCTGATCATATGGTGTTTGCAATAACATGTTTTAGTCCTTTAACCTCCATCTTTTTTTTTTTCACACAATAAACTTGATAACTTTATAACTTTTGTGCAATAAAGATATTTTATAGATTTGGCAAAGTGAAATTCAACAAAAAAAAGCACAACATAATCTTAAAAATATGAAATAAAAGCCTCACTGAATTTTGACACAAAAAATACATGACAGGGAACAAAGAAAATTAGATGAGAAGAAGGTAGAGAATGAAGAACTCCAAAAAAAAAGCCCAAAGATGTAGAAATAAAAAATAGCTATAAAAGATTAGCAATTCTTTCACTCAGAAAGTAGTTTTACAGCAGTATTTTCCTAACTTTTGTCATCCTCCCTTTAATACAGTTTCTTACGTGCCCCCTCTTTTTAAATTTATGAAAAAGTGTGTTAAGTGATGAGAGATAATACATATTAAAATACTGTGTGTGTGTGGGTGGGGGGGGGGTGGTATATTATTATTTTTTAATTAAATAAAATAATAATTAAATTAGACTATAATTTAGTACTATTACTAGACTACTAATAGTAACTT